AAATGTCAGAATGGATACTAGATGGGGCCCAGATGGGAAGTCTTCTAGACTGGATTACGTGCTCACTAGTGACCAGCTACTAGTGGAAAACGTTCAGATCACGACTCCCATAGGTAGTAGTGACCACGCGGTCATAACATTCGACATAGTCCTCCGCGAGCGTTTACAGTGGGACAATACACAGCCTTATCTGTGTTATAACAAAGCCAATTACACCGAAATGCGAAGACTTTTGTCTGAAGCAAATTGGCCAAAAAATTGGACAGAGCTTACAGTAGAAGAACACTGGAGAGTGGTAAAGGAGATCATTCACCAGGCGATCTCAGACACTGTTCCTTTGGTCACACCTAAAGCTAGAAAGCAACGTTCATGGCTAAAAAGGGGGACGCAACGCCTTCTACAGGCGAAGCGAAAAGCCTGGTTTGCGTGGCGAGTATCGAAGAGTCAACCCGAACATGAAGTGTACCTCGAACTCAGGAATCGGTGTAACATACGAGTCCGGAGTGATAGAAGGACATTTCAGAGAAACCTCGCCAATAAGCTTCTCGTGAACCCCAAAAGCCTACACAGGTTTATGTCTGAAAGAAAACCGACCAACCAGGGAACTTGCAATCTAGTGGGTTCTGATGGGAAATCTCTTACTAGTCTTGAAATGGCAGAGACATTCAGTCTAGCCTTTCACAGGCAACTGAACAGTAACGAGGATTTTACCTCCACAAAACATCAAGATTACAATGCAAGACCAACGTGCGAAAACCTGCTGGGTACATTTCAAATTACCCCGGCTATGGTACTCGTAAAATTGGGAAAGTTGGCTTCAGGAAAGTCTGCAGGTTGCGATGACATAAGACCATCCGTCCTGAAGCAGTGTTCAGAAAGTCTCTGCCAACCCCTAAGTGATCTGTTTCAACACTCCTTTGATGTAGGGAAACTTCCATGTGAATGGAAACGAGCCATCCTATCCCCTATCTTCAAGGGTGGTGACCGGCAGAACGCGACCAGTTACAGACCAGTTGCGCTACTCCCAGTGATATCGAAGATATTGGAAAGTCTCATTGACGACCACATGAGAAAATACTTCGACGGGACTAACCTACTCCATGAAGCACAGCACGGTTTCAGGAGGGGAAGATCCTGTGTGACGAATCTTCTACTAGCTTGGAACGATTGGACACTATCCTGGGATGTAAAGGTACCAGTCCATGTGATCTTTCTCGACTTTGCGAAAGCATCCGACACAGTGCACCATGGTCTGCTCCTTCACAAAATAAGCAAAGCGGGTGTTTCTGGAGCACTTCTCGCATGGCTGGAAGATTATTTAGGCGAGAGAGAATTCTGCACCAAAGTCAACCGCATCCGATCATCCTGGCACACCTCGGCATCAGGGGTTCCTCAGGGTTCTATCTTAGGGCCGTTGATGTTTTTGATTTTTATCAATGACCTGCCCTGTCAACTGAATTGCTCTGCGCTTCTTTACGCTGACGACGTAAAGATTTGGAGAGCAATAAACTCATCGGAAGACTCCGACAGATTGCAGGCTGACCTGCAAACGCTGGGAGACTGGGCTCTGGCTAACGGAATGCCTTTCAACTTAAAGAAGTGCAAAGTAGTGCAACTTCATTCCGGCAGATCACAGAGTGCAAATTACACCCTTGGTGGCCAGAACTTGAGTTGTGTGCCATCAGAACGCGATCTAGGCCTTACTTTAACAGAAAAGCTAGACATCAGTGTAAATTACACGAGGGACGTCGCCAAAGCTTACGCCACTCTACACTTTATGCATAGGCAGCTGGGAGCTCTTACTCCTGAACTATTCCTAACGTTGTATACGACATACGTGAGGCCACTCCTTGAGGTGCATAATATCATTGCTCCTCCGCTACTCAAAAGGGATGCTAACATTCTAGAGAGTGTCCAGAGACGAGCGACAAAATGGGTGATCGGCCTCCGCAACAAATCATATGAGGAAAGACTGAAGAAATTAAGTCTTTTCACACTTAGTTACCGTAGTCACAGGGGAGACCTCATCACCGTCTATAAGATCTTAAATGACCAGGCCCACCCTAATAGGAGCATCCTGCCATTAAGTGATTATAGGCTTCCACGAGGTAACCCACTAAGGATAGCACACCAGAGACCAAGGACTCGAGTGCGTTCACATTTCTTCTCGCTTCGAGTTTGCCGTCTCTGGAACGCTTTACCGGCGGCCGTAACTACAGCTCCATCTGTGGAGACTTTTAAGCGGAAGCTGGACAATCATGCAGAAATGCATGGTTTGTGTCTCAATGGCTTACCCTCTTAAAATTTGAAACCACATTGTCAATGGATAAGCATACAAGCTAAATCCCCACGACCCGTCTTGTCTTCTCCCACTGTACCGACTACTCTATCTTTTCTTTCTTTCTTTATTATTTCACTTATCTCAACCTATATTATCTACACTACAACCTATTATTATCATTATTATTATTACTCTACTTTTATGATTATACCGAATGACCAACGGGTGTTAGGTCAAACTCCATTCACGGCAGCAACTGAGTCCTAACATACTGCACACTACAGACCACAATCTTGACCAATCCTCGCACCACTCCTCTTGGAGTCTACCAGAGCTAAAGCAGTCGAGTGGCGGGACTTACTACGCATAAGTTCACCGAAGATCTGGAACCTCTACCTTACAATCAAGAAGCGAGCTCAAAGAAATCACTGGTTTATACTAGCTCGTAATCAGGATATTGGATATTGGATATTGCGGCAGTTATAAATGTGTCGGTACTAGTCATTTTTTGTAACAAAAAGAAACTATCAGGGGAACACCTGGGAGTTCATTCCTTCGAGCAAGAGGCACAACTTTTATCAGGAATTGACATAAATGATGACAAATAGACTGTTAGTTTTTGAGGTCTTGACCCGCGTACAATGATTTCTGCCATTGTACGAAGTACACGCTACTGCGGAGCTCGCGTTCTGCTTTCCTCCCTCGTGTGACCGTTACTGACCGTGTTATAGTTTTTATTAATATTTGAAGTGTTCGTGAGTTTGATGTTATCATGCATGTTATAAAGCCAAATTACAGCACCAAAGATCTGTTCAATTTTTTCCCTAATTGTATGTGTGCCTAAATAGCTAAGCAGCGTGTTCGTAAAAACCCGGAATGAAAAGTTATTAGTATCTCATTTCACGACCTTTATTTAACTTACTGATGTCGAAAGCCGAAAAGCTATGATGAGCTTATGGTTAAAGTGAATTAATTATATTATTGGCAAACAGTTATTATTTTTTATGGATACAAAATTATAGCCTTGCAAATTTTAGTTGCATGCTTCACTAATCACGTACAAAGAGGCAACATTTTTAATTAAACAGTTTTTGGTACTGAAATTTGAATAATTCTGAGTCTTAAATTAAATGAAGGATTATTTCTTCGGTTAAGTGTGGTCATGAGGCAAAGAAATTGGCACATCTGTTTAGTAAGTCATGAGTGTGCAAATCATAAGTACTAAAAATGTGGTGAAAGTAATTCATGAAAAATACAGGCAACATCGTATAGGGATAAGAATAAAACTTGTGCACTCTGGCACTGAATGAGTACCTTGATATGATTATGATCAATAAATTGTGCTCGAAACGTTATCAGTAAATATTACTGTTTAACATTGTGTGGTTTTATTAAAACAAGTTTTACTTATAATGGAACATCGTATAGGACTAAAAAACCATTATTATTGTGGTGGAAGTAAACTAAGTATTCAAGTGGTCGCTTACATAGAACGAGACTAGAGAAATCTTGATAATTTACTCTCTTTATGTAGCTTAGCAGAGCCATAGTTCATTCCTATTTTGTTTACACCCTATGCACTGGTTTGTCTCCCCAATCATTCTTGAGACTTACCGGAATGATTCTAACCAATGAAGTAGTTGATGTTCACATAATTACGTACAAGTGTAGCTTCCACTAGAGTGATGGCATTTTGGTTTGTCAGGTTTAAAATTAAACAGCGAGCAAATTTTGTCTGTTTGTCTGCATTTTTGACACGACTTGCCGTTGTTGTTTTGTAATCACAGTATCTGAAATCACGTGATGATTTTGTTTTATTTCAGCGTATTGGGTGGGTATGTATAAAAAAGACCAGAATAATCGATTTCAAGCTTATGTTAAAAATTGACTGAACTATGCCAGTCAAAATGCCGATGACAGTAACCTGCTAACTCATTTTGCTCCATTGTTCACTATAACTTAATTTTTGTTATTATACTACATAATTTCAATGTAGATTTTGTCACAGACCAACGTGATTTAGAGACCATTGAGCACTGAGCTGTTTCGTTCTAGTTTGTGATTGTTGACAGTGCTAACCCATGATCCCACAAGGGATCGAGTCCTGGGCCTTCAGGTTGCCGTTTAGCTCGTTGGCAATTTAGCCACTCACTTGTGCCGGAATCCAGTAACTCGTGTACTCTAACTTCTGTCAATTTGTTATGCAGCACTGCCCTCAACTAATACCTTTGATAAACATTCACTACACCTTGACATTGTAAACCTAACTCTGGCCATGACTTCTCAGTGTACAGCTTGAGGGAACATACATTCAGTAGCTGCCAATAATATGGAGGCTATTTAGATTCTGCTTTTTTTTCTCAGGGTAGATTTATACTTCGAAATTTATCCAAATCCACACAAACACCCGTAATCTAATATGCTAGATAAGTCGACATAATAAGTAGGAAAACCTGTGACTCTAAACTATAACAGCCCAGAACGGAACTACTTAATGAACAGATTGATGACCTTGAGCCGCCGGTGAGATGAGTCTGTTGTATTCAGGCGGAATTATGGATGCCGTATACGAATAACGCAGCAAATTCCATGCAAATATTGTATTTAAGTACAGGTTCATTGGAAGGGAGAAAACGTAGCCAACTGTCGTCCCCGGGCTATATTCATTACCTGGTCAGTAGTACGGACGATTTCTTTAATCCTCTCAATGAGACTGACAAAAGTCCCTTTGAAAGTTTCTAAAGTCACATAAAAAAACAGGATGGGAGCGGTGAAGTAGTCAAGAAATACGATGACTTACAGTTACGTCAATGAATTTACTCACAGAAATGGATTTAAGCTAACTATGAGGAATTGGAAGCTTTTACTGGAACATATGCAAGGAAGTTATTCTATGTAACTACTTTTTAATATCGCACTACTCATATATAAACATCTTTTTCAAATCACGCACTTCTGCTTCCGACGCGTCTAAGTGATCGATAGAGATTTGTCGAAGTCTTTGTTAGGCAGTTCGTTTTGGATTGCTATAGTTTCGAGTCACTGGAAAACCTATATTTAAATTGTTTTTAGCATTTATTTACTAGATTTATCCTATAATTCTCAAGTGAACTGGTTGATTCTCAAACAGCTCAAATTCAGTTTATTAGAAGTGTATAACAAAAATCCGATGATAGTAATAAATCCAGTTGGTATTCAAAACTGAACAAGAAAACCGTAATCACACACACACTTTCAAATATGCTTTAAATAATTTTAATAGATGTCATTCAGGCTTTGAGTATTTCAGTGATTGTGTCTAACTGTAGGGAAATCATTTTTCTTCAAGTTTCATAGACAACAAATATCATTGAATACAAAAACTAGTGTCATAGCCCTACACAGATTTTCAAGAATTGGTTTGTAGGCATTTCACTTGTTTTCAAGTTTGACCACGGATCGATATCACTTAGACAAGCAGTGAAAACCAGGGAGTACATTGGGCAGCTGTTTTCTCCTAACGTTTTCGGTACTCATGGGCCATTGAGTCAGATCCGATTGGTTGATTGGTCGGTCTATGCGCTTGCCTTGTAACCGGAAGGTCCCGGGTTCGGACACCACGTACTTGTTTAAAGTGTCTATTTTAACCACTTATCTACTTTTTTTAATTATCACAATATATTCTAACATTAATTACTTTTATTTGCTTTCCTTCTAGTGTTATAGTATACACACTTATTGAAAGGAAAGAAAACAAACAAACCTAATTAGATGTTCAAACCAGTAATTGCTGCTTGAATACCAGAAGCAAACTTTAATTCAAGAGCAAAATTATCATTCGATGTATTTTTAACAGTGATCCTGGAACTTCCCCTATTTTTCTCCTCTGGCGATCTGATTTGCTAAAGTTTTATGGAAAAGTAACACACCAAATCACATTTTCTGTTCTTACTTATTTGTTCTTTCAGAAAGAAAGCTTTTGTTCAGTTAAAAGAGTGAATGGTGAAACAATATGTCGTCTCGACCTCAGTTCGTGAAAAGACCACCTTTAAAAGAATTGAAATCTGAAGAACCGTTAACATCGTTAGTTTTTTCTTTTTTTTATTAGAATTTCTAATAAATCTCTTTTTAAAATATATATATATATATGTATGTATAGAGGATTTAAGTATTATTCTTGTCAAGGGAAACTTACTATCCCAAATGTCTGTCAAGATTTGGCATTTTCAACTGACGATTTAATCGATGAAGGCGAGATTGGTCGAGGTGCTTATGGATTTGTTAATCGTATGTTACATGTACCAACACAGACAGTGATGGCAGTCAAGGTAAGTTGTGAGTGGTGCGCATATTCTTTTTTTAACTCAAAAAATTTTTTCCTTTTTTCTGTTCTGTTTGTATGAAAAGTTGAGAGGAAAATATATTTTTTGTTTTTTCCTTTATTATAATAATATATTGCTGAAATTATAAGGTCGCCTTTTTTTCTGTTCTCTTTAATTGTAAACAACAAAACAGTGTCAATTAAGGAGTATATTGAAAGTGTAATTAACACGAAAATAATCAATTTTGATGTTGAACATTAATCATGAGCATTCATTACTACAACGTATAGATCCATTGTGTTATTCGTGATAATTTATTTTCAAAGTTCCATGTTTTATTTAACTGACGAGGATATCAAAGCAAGGATCGGGAAAGCAAGACAAGCTTTGACTACTCTCAAGTCTGTGTGGATATCAGCAGCACTACTCAGCCTGAAAAAAAAGATCGGGATTTTCAACTCCCATGTGAAGTCAGTGCTACTATGCGGATCAGAGACTTGGTGCCACGCCGCGTCACGAAAGGCACTTCGAACAAACTACACACTTTCATCAACAGCTGTATTCTGTAAATAATACTCAAGATCAGATGGCCGGCCAGGAAAGATGATAATCAACAAGGATCTCTGGCAATGAGCGAACCAACCCAGCAGGAACCGATTGTGTAACAAGCTGTGCAGGAAGAAATGGAGGTGGATTGAATTGGCCATACTCTAAGAAAACAAACCATCAAGTGAGTGGCATCACACGTTAGGCCATCGCTCGAGTGGAACCCGAATGAAATGGGAAGCGGTGAGTTGGTCGCCAGTGGAGGGTGGGATGACATGGAGGAGGTGATGCAAGGAAGAGGAGATAAAAGCATGTGGACAGATATGGAGTCAGGTGATGAGAACATTGGCAGAGAATCGAACGCAATGAAGACGCGCGGCTGAAGCCAATAATATATATAATAATAATAATGTTTTATTTAGATTTAGATTTATGCCTATTATCACACTATATTACACTCATATTTTGGACTGTTATCTATTTACACTCTATTCTTACATGTATGACTTTGATGTCACTGATTTGATGTTATCTGGAAAAAAACATCAATGTTGTCAATACCAATTATTCTTTAACCGCAGAACCTGATAAGGAAAGAGATATATGTGTATTAGATGGTTAGAGGCGATCGACAGGAGGCCTTCAACCTAGGTTTCGTGCTAGTTGACACTCACCAGCCAGCAAGACGTATCTGCAATTCATTTCCCTTCTGAGATTCGAATCCAGGTTACCCAGTGCTGCCTGCAGTCAGAGACGTTACTACTGAGCTATTCGGGCTTGAGATTGACCTCCTGTAGGACTGTATTGGACACTTTGATTAGAAACTAGTGAGTAACTAGTGTAATGTGTCTAGTTCTTTGTTTGGTGCAGACTGAATTCTATCAGTCGGGTTTACAATGTGGTCCGAATAGCTCAGTGGTAATGTCTCTGACTGCAGCACTACGCTGGGTGACGCCGGTTCGAGTCTCAGAAGGAACATAAATTGTAGATACGTTTTATTGACTGGTGATCGCCAACTAGCACGAAACCTAGGACCCGATAAGGCTTCCTGCCGATTGCCTCCAACCATCTAATACCAAAAATTTAAAGTCCACGGTGATAGCAAGCTACCTAAAATGGCGGACACATTGCAGATCTGACTGATAGAATTCAATCTGAACCAAACAGAGGACTAGACACATCACACTAGTTACTAGTGTCCGATCAAAGTATATATATATATATATATATATATATATAGCACGGAAATCTCATCCAGAATTCCTTACTGCATTTTACACAAATACATATGGCAATGAACTTAACTATGATTATGGCATGGCCATTGAAAGTAAGACGTCAAATGGCTAACTGTCTTCCATCATAGGTGTCTATTCGTTTTATCTCCCATGTTAGGTTAGGCGTCGAGTGTTCGCTAAGGAGGGAAAGTCAATCATTGAGGTTGTAAAGCTCTATCGATTGAGATGTCTAGGACCTATGTTACTCATACCCACCCATCACCTACCTCGATAAACAATGTTAGCTGACATCATTTGGACCAGGTTGGAAATGAATTAGCTAGTGGTGGTCAAACCAAAACTTGAAGTCAGTCAGTCCATAAAATCGTTGACAGTTAGTTAAAGCCAGCCATCCAGTCACATAGGGAAGTGCAGACTGCTGTGTCTGGCTGGTGTCCTCGGAGTCGTAATAACTAATGGTTTGAAGAAAGTTGGTGATAATGATATGGCTCGAATCGTTTCCAGTGGCTTGGATTCATTTCCTCTCTACAATTTACCATATCCATTAAACCTTATTGCTTTTTCCCTCACATTTCTGCCGTATTATAGTCCTTTCGAATCTCTTTATTCTCTCTTTTGTCTTCCTTTGTGTACAACATGGGCGGAGTGTTGCAAGTTGAACTGCTTCACTTCTGTGCAAATCAGTCGATGATTACTATTAATTAAACCTTTTGTTTCATGTTTATTTACTAGTGCTTAGATGATGCATTTCTACTTTATTTAAAAAAATTATTTTATTCCTTTACGTTCCCAGTGTGGAACATAGGGCTTCAAGCTAGAGAGGCTTGAAGTTTCGATAGCACTCGTGTTTATTTTTTCGTACGGGATGGGGTTGCTAGCCTCATGTGAAAACTTCCCTCTTTACCAGTCATTTTTTACTGGCTTAGCGAGGTAAAGAAATGCCTCAGTGACTGGGAATCGTACCGCGAACCACATAAGGCGTGGTTGGTGAGCATTCTACCACTGTGCCACCGACGCATTTCTATGCATTATATTACAATTTAAACTCACGGTTTGCTAATTATTTAGAAGTGTACTCCAAACACACTATTAAAAAGAAAGCTGATATGGAATTTCATAGTGAAATTAAATTAGTCATTCTCACGATACTTATAACTTTGAAGGGGACATAGATTACACTTTCGTGACCAACAAAACAGTTTTATTCGATAAAACAAACTGTGACAGAGTGTTGTTTGTCTTTGTGGATGATGTGACAGGGTTTCGAGCACATTTTTTCTATTGCTCAAAAATGTATATTGAAGATATACAATTCAACGGGGAAAATTTTCTTTATCGACGAAATCGTCTTCAAAGGCTGTACAACTGTATATATGTTTACCAAAAAAACGTGTATTACTTTATTACTGAGTAATATGGCAGAGGGGGGGAATGACATACTTGGTATAATTACTCAGAAGTGTGTGTGTTTATGAATTCACTTGTTCCTATGGAGTTAGTTGTATTTGTCGCACAAAGCGCACACTTTCTAAACCCATCCCTGAACATTATCCGACATGTTTAGCAAAAGGACAATGCAAGACAATTACTAGCTCAATTCTTGAGAACTTGGTGATCTCAGGCCACTTAGCTCCACCAGAGTCGTCTTTTAAGATTATCTACATGGTGAAACTGAATGATACGGAGGGTGTGTTAGGTTTCGGCATGTGTTTGGTGGAGGCTCTGGCGATTCGTCAATACACAACTCCGAACTCGCATACCATGAGCCCTAACCTCTTCATTAATCGTTCCTTGCAATTTATTTTATTTTTTAATAGTTAGTTTGCTTTTATTTTTAATAATTAATTCACTATTAGATCACTCTCACATGTTCCTTTTATACATTTTCTCGCCCTCTTTACACTTGTTAAATGGACACTCAATAACAACTTTAACCCTATCGAATTTCTAACCCTTTCATCCTTTTTGCAGTTGAGTATTACGTAATGTGTAACGTTTATTTTTACTTTTGAAGCCACTCCCGAGTAATGATATCGATAATGTCATCTCTACTACTTAATGGACTACTATACATTTTTGGTAAATATAAATACGACTGTACAGCCTCTAAAAGTGATTTCGTTGATGAAGAAAATTTTCTTCACTGAACTGTTGTCTTTTACTTTCTTAATGACTCGATGGGTTTTTTTTTCGGTGTTTATTCAATACAGCTAGAACCCTTTGGTGTATTAGGATGCTTACATAACCTCTACCTTTATAAAGTTCGTTTATGTCTATTAGTAACAGTAGTTTTTCTGTATCTGTGGTATCGATGCTGCCTCGCTCCTATTGCAAATGTAGATCCTATGAACAAGGACTCAGTGATCAACCCAATTGTATTACTGCCTGCATAGGGATTGCTGAAATTTTCTCGTAAAGTTGGTCATCTTTTTGGAGTTAGTTATCCAACACTTAGCTAAATTCGCATGTTTTTTTTAACCTAACTAGCCCCAACCTACTGGTGAGACCCACATAGTTCACCTTATAGTCGTTGGAGTCAAACATACGCCAAATACTTGCAATAAGAGTGATACAACATCAGTACCACATATAGAGGGAATATTATTCAAACGGTAGAAGACTAAAGACTTGGTAAAGGAATGTTTATTAGGAAATTGGTATCTCTATATAAAGCAAAATTATTTACACCTTATCTTCAACGCACCATTTCCACAGATCTTCGTGTTGTGCTACTTCTAGATTTCATGTTGTTTTTCTCTGTGTTCCTTTCACGTCTCTCATGTATCTCCACAACGCTATATCATTTGCCTTCTATGAACTCAAATGTTTCTCCCTGCTATTAGACGTTTTTATGCCGATGAGCGTCTCTCTACATACTACTGATAAATCTTATGAGTAGCATTCGCCACATTATTACCAATAAAATCAATGGTTAAAAAATATAATGGAACTGCAATATAAACAAAATCTGAAAGAGGTGTTATGTCAACACCTTGATACATATATTTATAAGCTATAAATCGTACTCGAAAAGTTGTCATGGGCAAGTAAAATGATACTGTGTAACACAATGTGTTTTATCAAATAATAATTATTTTATTATGAAAGTGTAATTTGTGGCCGGCATTATAAGAGTAGCTAGATAAGGCAATAAGAAGATGTATTTTTGTCTGAATCGTGTGTAATGTATTTGCCCAACAAATTTCTAACAATCTCGTCACACACACGTACCTTTCATAAGAACATATACGAAACCGATAAAGAGTTAAGTTTCATACATTTATTCCCCTTATTGAATTTGAACAAAGAAAGAACTACAGTTTTAGCAGAATAAAGTGGTACCATCTTTTATTTTATCGCCTTCTCGTCAGCTGCTTACAGGGCAAAGATATTGTTAAATATATCTACAAAAACAATTTTAACATACTTGCACATAGTTCATTTTAAACAAAAATCAATCGATCAGTATATTGATACAGTAATTATATATATATATATATATATATATATGTAATATTAAACACTTCCGAACAATAATAATCATACGCAATGGAAACTTTTCAGCATTTCGCATTCAGATAAAAGAGAAATGAAAATATTCAGTTACCAGGGCAAAGAAAGACTGATAACTGTTTCTTTCTGGGCGCACAAATCAGGTTTCAGGCGCTTAATGGAAATGGCTTCAGCAAACTTGGGGAGACTTAAGCTCTTTTGCTTATTGATAATTTTGAACGACTTTTCGACGTCCACCTCATGACCCGTGTCAAGGAGATGCCTGGCGATGGCACTGTTTAAAGCATTTGTTCCCTTTAGACATAAGCTTTTTGGTACATGTTCAGAAAATCGTAGATATACCCTTCTTCATTCTGTTCTTCCAATGTAACTGCTCCCGCAGGTACATGTAAATTTGTATATACAGTTGGAGTTAACATGAGAAGGATATCTATTGATTTTTGATTGCATCAAAGAGCAAGTTTTTCGACAGACGGGGACGAGCTTAGCTGCAGGGTAGGCTATGGCTAGTGATGTACTTAGCCTTCTGTTGATCATCGCTGCAATGTTTTCAAGGAGAGTCGTTGCGACGGGAAGCATGCTATACTTGTAAGTCCTCCATATAAACCAATTCTCCTATTTCCAAACTGTCGCATGCCTAGACAGTACTGAAATACTCCGTCCACACGAAATTTCACATGTAAGTTGGTTTGAGCAGTACCAAAGGGCGTGTGTACTTCTCAACAGTTCGCTCCGTTCTCCTTTATGGCTTTGAGACATGGACTGGAAGACATGAAAAGCATGGCTAGCTGTCTTTGATCATAGGTGTTTGCGTTCTATCTCCCGTGTTAAGTCGTGTATTAAGGTAAGCAATATTGAAGTTAGGCGTCGAGTGCTAGGTAAGGAGGGGAAATCAATTGATCGATGAGGTTTGTAAAGTTACATAGATTGAGATAGTTAAGACATGTGTTACGCATACCTAGCCTAGCCATCGCCTTCCTCGACAATGGGCAATGTTAGGGTCAAATTGGAAAAGAGCTAGCCAGTGGTGGTCAAACCAAAACATGGCTTCATCAGTCAATGAAATCCACAACAGTTAGTTTAAGTCACGTAGGAAGGTGTAGACCTCTTGGTTGGAATCCTCAGGACGGTAAGAACCCAAGAAGCAAGCTGGAGACAATTGGTAATATGGCTGGCTCAAAATCGTTCACAATGGCGCAGATGCATCCAACAAAATTATATTGCTCTTGCATATTACTATTCTTTTTGCCTTATATCTCTGTTTTGAATCTCTTTTTACTTTCCTCTTGTTTTGTGTGTGCTAAGTGAAGTATGGCACATCGAACTGCTGCACATTTGTGCAAAGTTCTACATTGAAACCAGTCAGTCAGTCAATTGACCAGACATTTGACTTTAATCAAGTGAATTATTTATAAGCTTGAACTCACATGAAGAATGCGATTCTTCTGTTCAACGTTGCTATAATAGTGCACTCGCAAAATCCTTTGAGTGTCTAAAGTTTTTCTAACTTTGTTGAACTTCCTTTGTAGTACCGCTTATATTCCTTTTTCCCCTTACTCACCACAATACTATTATTGACAGAGCAGATTAATGTTTGTTATTATTATTATTATTATTATTTTTCATTTCTCTGCGTTTTGAGGGGAACGTAGGTCACTTCAAGCTTTCTGCTAAGAAGTTTCAACCACCGATGATGTTGTTTTTTTACGAAGAAGGGACGTGCCAACCTCACTTCCAACCTTTCCTCTTTTTAGAGCTTCCTACCAGTTGAATGAAGTGTAAGAGTGTGCGTCAGCCGGGAATCGAACCCGAACTATGTGCATGATTGGTTAGCTGGTTGATTGATGAACAGTCTGCCTACACCACTGGATAACCACCAACTTATTAATGTTGTTATTATTATTATTTTTAATTTTTATTTCCCCTAGAGAATTCGTTCAACGCTAAATGAACGAGAACAGAAAAATACACTGAAAGATTTAGATGTTGTTATGAATTCAGCAAATTGTCCTAATATTGTCCTATTTTATGGTGCATTATTTAAAGAAGGCGATTGTTGGATTTGTATGGAAATGATGTCCACTTCGTTAGATAAATTTTATAAATTTGTCTATAATCATTTACAATCACGAATTCCTGAAAGTATTCTCGGGAAAATTACTACAGCGGTAAGTTCTACTGTCATATACATGTGTCTTTCTATGTTATGTATATAATTGTATGAGGGAATAAGTGATGCTTTTGTATCTCCGAGATTGTGTAATCATTTCACTGTGATGGTGTAAGCAACATGTAGCGTTTAAGGGATAATGGTACCATCTAGTTGTATCGACTTCTATGTATTTGGAGACTAGTGAGCTTACAGTTCCATACGTATTTCGGCCTTGTTGTGACACTCTTCAGCAGTGTGCATCTACATTGTTAAGCAGATCTTTTTCTACAGTTAGTTTGTAGGGATTTTATTTCTTCTAAGTTTGACCATGGATTTATACCAGTTAGAGAACAATTGGAAACCAGCTGTGAGTACTGGACAGCTGTTTCGTCCTAGTTTGGGACTCATCGGAAGTATCCACCCACCATAGGGTTTCGAACCCATGGTCTTCTGGTTATAGGGGAAGCTTAGAGACCATTCAACCTTTGTGACCTGACTCTATAGCCAGCCCATGAATTCTAATTCCTACCGATTCGTGATTTTAATGCGACCACTAGCCAGTGTCAAATCAGATCCCTGCAGACTAACTCTTGTAAATTAATGTGATGCTCACTAGTGACCAGTTACAGGACGAAGTTACCTGGAGTCCTAGTGAGTTGTGGTTAGTAGGGTCCAGCTGGTTGGGTGGGGGAGTGAGGAGGACTACTAGGTGGTGTGACATTGGCTGGTGGGTGGTCTCTCTAAAATCACGAATGGATAGAAGTTAAAATTCATAAGCTGGTCATTGAGTCGGGTCCCAATGGTTGAATGGTCTATGAGCTTCTCTTGTAACCAGAAGATCATGGGTTCGAAACCCTATGGTGGTTGGGTATTGCCGGTGAGTAGTCTCCCACTAGTATGGAATAGTTGTCCAGTACGCCCATCTGGTTTTCAGTGCTTCTCCGATTGATGTATCAATTCCTGATCAAAATTGTAATAAATAGATTTTTGTTTCGTTAGGTATCTGAACACACATTTAAGCGAACAATATTGTTTTCAATTAGATTTGATCAGACTTAATTCTAAAGGAATTTGAATATTATTCAGGATTCCTTGACACAGATAGACTATCCAATTAGTTTCATAAAGAAACATATGAACACATTGGAGAGAAAACCTGAGACTATGACTGCACGTAAAAAACCTCTATTTATTGAATTACAATTTAATGGTGACTTGTCAAATGAGATTTTATTCCAGAGACTTTCCAGGAGTACACAAAAGAACGTTTTACGCAGAGAACCTATGTTTATCATTCTCTAGCCCACGAAGGATAAGCTAGATAGTTTTGTCACATCTATGTGCATTTATCAATTCAACTGCACCTGCGGTGACAGTTGTGTCTGGCGTACTACTAAACAGCGTAGCCAACATGTTACCGAACATCTCCCATTGTGGTTTGGCGAAGGACAGACAAACACAATACGTAGCTCCATTTTGTCACATTTTATTGATAGTGGTTATGCAGTGGAGAAGACGAGAGCATTCAAGGTAATACATTGTATCTCACCGAATCTTTCCAATAGACTTCGTAGTCGCCTACTGCACACAGCTGAGGCGATAGCCATTCGAAATATTAAAACTAAACTATGCATTCAGAAAAAGTTCGTATATTTATTATCCCTCCCTTGTTGGTCTATTAAGACACAACCAACTGATGACTTCACCACCCCCTACTTATATTTTCAACCCCTCTCTTATCATCCCTTAATCTTATGACATCTTCATTAAAACATAGTTTATTTACTTCCCTTTCAGTCTACCATTACGTAATCGGTTCATTTGTTTTTCGTAACCTTTATCGACCACTTCTACCTGAACACATTTGTTTGTTTAAACGTGCTGTTTTTCGTTCTTGTTATCACAGATCGCCTCACTTTTTTATCTTTGTTATTGATAAAACCATTATTATTATTATTATTATTATTATTATGACTAATTGCACCATCTTATTATCCTATAGACAGAACACCGTGTTTGGTTTATATTTGAATTGTTATTTAGTAATCTGAATATTTAGGTAATTCAGTAATGAAGCCAAACTCTATATCATTAAACGATTCAAGTTGCTATGCCTGCTTTGCATTCACACTGGTTGTTAAATGGCAATTAGTGTTGCTTTCAAGTTTAACAGTGTTTATTATAAGGACTTGTATCAATAAATTCTGCCATTCAAGATTTGTTAAAGCTAGCCAGAATGAGAAAATCAAAACAGATGTTTGTTTTTTTACTCTTAAATCAGTATGAAGACATACTGTGTCGAGGTCTACTGATGAGATTTACCAGTAGTATATAAAGAGACGTTCGTCGGCATAACATACATCAAATAGCAGGGAGATACAGTTGAGTTCAGAGAAGGCAAATGATACAGTTTTGTGAAGATGCATGGGAGACGTGAAAGGAACACAAAGAAGCACAATATGAAGTCCAGAAGTAGGATAACAAAAATGATCTGTGGAAATGGTGCATTGAAGATAAGGTGTACATAATTTCGTTATATAGAAATTTTTCAATTAAATTTTCAAATAAACATTCCCTTACCAGGTCTTCGTCTTCTACCGTTTCAATACAGCCCTTTACCTCAACGAACAATTTGTGCAGTTTCAATATTAATTTCTAGTTTGTCAGTGCTTCTACTACATGGTTCAGAGACTTGTTTATTGTACACATCACCAACAGGCTACTCACTGTGAATTCTTATCAACAACTGCTGCCTTCGTTAAATACTGAAGGCTAGGCGGCTGACTAGGAAGGATAAGTAACCAGGATCTCTGTGTCAGTTTAGCGAAGTAGCCGTTAATATATTGTCCAATCAATATACTGAAGCAAATGGAGGTGAACTAGGATCATACACCTAGGAGACATTCAAGTGACTTTAAACACTAAACTATCAAATGGAGCGCGTCGGTGGAACAGCGGTTAGGACGCTCGGCGACTATGCACATGGTCCGGGGTTCGATCTCCGGCCACTGGACGCAATTCTTTACCTCGCTAAGTCAGTAATATAACTGGCAAAGAGGGGAGGTGGGGCATGAGGCTAGCAAAAAAATAAATACCACTGCTACAGAAACTCAAACCTCTAGCTTGAAGCCTTATGTTCCACTGGGAACGTGAAGGAATACAAAAAAATCATATGGAACCTTACACCTTGTTCATAATTATGTTGACAGTACAACTAAGATTACCAGTAACTAACTTTTTATTATTATATATAGTCTTGACTATGAAATATTCAAGTAACTTAGTTAAAAGATCATGTTAGCTGGCGGTCGTATGTATGTCAAGGGAGACAGCATCTTTGATTAGCTTAACGTCTAGTTAGAACATTCAATTACTCAGAAGAGATTTTTCCTGTACTTGGCCATGAGCCATACTTATTATTCGAAATCTGAACGAGTTAGGTAAAGTGGGATGTTGAATTTGGCGACCTGTCGGCTGAAAGTTGAATTCTTTAACCAATGAGCCATAACTCCACAAGTACAAGTGGTACAGCTCAGAAAACAAACAAAAAGCCATTTAAAACTTCAATGTAGATTTCGTCATCAACCAACACTAGACAGTCATTTCGCCCTAGTTTGTAACTCTTCAGCAATGCGCACCAGGAATCGAACCCTGAACTTTGGGATTACGAGACCCAACTCGTTGACTATCCAACCACTTGGGCAGGAATTCAATGATCTGTGAATTCTATATGTGCCTTATAACCCCTGTGTGTTTAACGACCAAATTTATCCGGTTATCGTCTGAATAGTCGACAAAACTTCACTGAGACACACGCTGTCACGATTATTCTACAATATCTTAGCGGTTCTATCAAACAACAATAGTAACATCAAAACTCAAATTTACGTCAACGGTACCGTGAGGTAGACAGGCAATGTAGGTTTCTAAATACAAGTACTGTTAAGCGAAATTAGCTAACCAAAGTTCAATTGTAAAAAGTACCTTAGAATCGAGAAGAATATTCCCAATGAGGTGGGGTCAATCAAAAGCTCTGTCCACAACAATCAACCACCAATGTTTCCAGGAGGCAGGCAGTCCCTGGTTAGAATGACCTCCATTCACTCAAACAAACTCATATTGTTAAATAACACGTCAATGTACACAAAACCACAAAGAGAAGTATTACAATTAAAGATTCACCAAGGACAAAGACAAATAATAGAAGCCAAAATCAACGTGTCATATGCAGATATGATACACAGTCTAGGTGGAGGAAAAACCTATAATTATTACAAGGTTAGTTAAAACGTCTAAATAGGTATATTATATATTATAAATATATCGTCTAGGAGGATATTTCCAAACATTTTGCCCACTACAACTTGAGCGTCCCGGGTTCGATTCCTGGTAGCATCGTGTGTGCACATGCGCACTACTGTATAGTCTCGAACTAGGACGAAACAGTTATCTAATGCTCCCTGCTGGTATTCAATGAGTGATCTCTAAATGCCTTTGGGTCCTGACGAAATCTACACTGGAATTATTTCAAATCCCTACAGAAAAACCCATATTGCTAAATGTCTCAATTTAAAATTTTTTTTGCAAACAACTAATATCTTGTAATTTTTTACTTCACATTTTTATTCAAAAATTCAGACTGTATCAGCTTTGGATTATTTGAAAACTGCGCTCAAAGTAATTCATCGAGGTGAGTGATTGGTCAGTTTTATGTGTATTGTGTTTTACCTTGTGTCATAATTTATATATAAAGCTTAAAGTTGTCTACTTGTTTTGAATAAACAGGAGGAAAACAAGATCATGAGTGTGATAGGGGTAAAGGAGAATGATGATCAGGAGGGCTTCGTGTGCTTTTAGAAGTGTGTGGGCGGTTGTTACGTCCCGGCTGCCCACAACGTGGAAGTTGGTTGATTCTTCGGGTACCTGAAATAGAAAGAGGGTTGGTGTTGCGTGACCGCACAGACCATGGGACAACTGCTTGAAGCCAACCGATCACACACCGCTTGTCGGAACTAGCTTTTTGGTTTGGTCCTGTATTAGTAACTTACCGTAGGCTACAGACCACCGTAGGTGGGGTAAGTCGGTATGTACTATTTTTGGAGTCGACCTTTTTTAACCCCCTCTCTCCAGAGTGGACAGACAGCATACCTGTCATGCTAGTCGTCCGAAGGAAACACCTCAATGCTGTTACATCCCTGTTCCCCAGCATAGTGTAATGCCGGTAACTGCTTTTATTCTAATCGCTATCCTAACAAATCTTGGCGTGGTAAGACCTGCAGGAACAATAGTTCCAGCCAGTGTAGGTTGTTGGTTCATTGCGATATGCAAGCCCGACCACCCCCGTAAAGGTAGCAGCTATCGGTTGGGTTTTCAACAAACACTTTAACCACTCATAGGTATTTACATAATTTCAATAATTTAATAAGTCCAATTGTAACATTAGGAACACAATATTTGGCGAAGAGACTATTTTCAACGAATTAATTATCAAGTTTAACAATCGTATATATATATATATATAGGCTATTTTTAAGAAATTATATCCGATGAGGGAATTGAGTCAAGGGTGTGAATACATGAAATAATAATAATACTAGTAGTAGTGTGGTGAGAGCTGTCTACTAGCCAAATTGGTAGACAGTAATTTACGTCAATATTTACGTTCCCAAGATTTGTCGTGAGAAACAACCAATCGGAAGACTGTGTTTGTTTGTTTACATAACCATAGTAATGTACATGAAAACATATATAAATATGCGTTGATTTCCTTAATAAATGATCTGTTGCCTGACTCTTGCCTTCTGTCGTTACAGTAGTAGTATGAAATGCAATTAAAACTAAAATGTTTGTGATTATAATCATAGTTGAATATCAAGTGTCGAGTGGCAAACACAATTAACCTCATATATGGAATAATTCATAAGATGGATGTATAGATGTTGGAAACAGGTGTATACTTATAGGGTTGATAGGCTAATATAAAAAGTTACATAATATGGTGTGAAATTTGATAAGATAGAATTCAACATTGTAAAACAATTTTTTGGTGATTTTGAATGACAAGTGGAAAAAGTTCAAAGTGAGAATAGTAATAGTAATAATAATAATATTAATCGTAGTAATGAGAGAAAGGTACATAGATTGACTAAATAAACAAAATAAATGTCTATCCCTCTACGGCCAAGGCAGAAATAGGGATTGTATATACTTCTTTTGTACACAAAAGTCTAGCATAAATGAATGACTGGCCAAGGCCTCCGTTGTCTTTAGAGGAAGTTTAGAACGTAGAAAAAGCGGCAAGTTAGCATGGATTCCATAGATGATGATCTTAAAATCATAGTCAAGGATTGGTAGAGTGACAAGAGTAGGTTAAGTGCTGTAGAATAGAGTTTCTAAAACCCTTCCTTTTTCCCATGCTAACAAATGCTCTTGTTTTCCCAAGCCTTTATCTACTCAGTCTATTTCAGCCAGCGTTTGTTTATAAACTTAAGCCACTTTTCACTATCCTTGTTATTACAAATCGCTCCATTCTCTCATTAATAGAATAATAATAATAGCAGTATTAATGACTAGTTGCACAATTTATGATGAGATCTAATTGAAAACAATATCAGTAGTCGTTAACATGTGCTGTTCTAAACTTTGCACAAATATTTGGCAGCAGAGTCTTGTTTATGCGGTGTAATGAATGCTATTCATAGTATATACTCCGGTATGACTATACAGATGTGTTCACATGATTTCATATAAAATTTCATAGAATTGGGACAAAATCACTCCTACAATATTTATGTTATAGAGTGATGATTAAAACCAAACCGTTAAAAGTGAACTTGGTTTGGACATATATAGATTAAAATTGAAAGTTTATCCTGACCTACCTCTACACATGGCATTGCGATGGGATCGTCACTAGGTAGGTCCATTTGCTAGCTGATTGTTTTGTTGAGAAAGCTTTGACATCTATAGAAGATAAGTAGATGATACTTTCGTTATCTGTGGTAAGAATGTAACTCTTGATGATGTTTTGTCTGCTTTCAACAACTGCCATCCTTCTTTGCAATTCGCCACAAAAAAGGAATCTGAACTAAGCATTCCCCTCCTTGATGTGTGGTCTTAACAGATGCAATGATGGATCACCCAAAAGATACATCTGCCAGAAACGTACATGAAATGAACAGTTGGGTGTCTATCTCCAGGAAAAGGAACCTAATTCATTCGCTATGATTAAGGATAAGAAACATTTGTAGTTCTGATTGCGTTGACTAAGGAACTTGCCTTCCTAAAAGCCACGTTCGCAGAAACACGAAAGATAAACAGTCCGAACTGGTCACCAACTCAGTTCCAAAGAAAACCTTATTCATAAATTTGGAATTCAAAGGTGATCAAACTTCAGATATGTTCAAAAATCGTCAGTAAGATGTTCGTCGCTGCAAAACTACACATGACTTCGCCAGAGGTATTTTGTTCTCCCTCTGTCTAAAAGATAAGTTCCCCCGTTTGACTGCCTCCATGTGTATCCATCAGTTCACTTGCTGTTTTGAAATGAGAAGATAATGCTTCCCACACGAATACGAAAATGTATTCCAGCATGCTTCTGCAAGGCAACCAAGAAGGGTGTGCGAAACTCTATTCTACAACACTTGATCGATTCCTGTCACTCTACCAATCCTTGACCATGATTTTAAGATCATCAACTATCGAATCCATGCTAACTTGCCACGTTTTCTACGTTATATACGTCCTCTAAAGACAACGAAGGTCTTTACCATTCATGAATTTAAGCCAGTGAGATGCCAATTCACGACATAGCGCAACCGCTAGCCAATGTCTTCGGCGAGTATTTGTCCCCACACCAGACCTGCTGCACCCTACCGGTCACGACTTCACACTACGATTAATATTATTATTATTACTATTCTCACTTTGAACTTTTTCCACTTGTCATTCAAAATCCCCAAAAAATTGTTTTACAATGTTGAATTCTATCTTATCAAATTTCACACCATATTATGTAACTTTTTATATTAGCCTATCAACCCTATAAGTATACACCCGTTTCCAACATCTATACATCCATCTTATGAATTATTCCATATATGAGGTTAATTGTTTTGCGGCTCGACACTTGATATTCAACTATGATTATAATCACAAACATTTTAGTTTTAATTGCATTTCATACTATTATTATTATTGTTATTATTATTATTATTATTATTATTATTATTATTATTATTATTATGTATTCACACCCTTGACTCAATTCCCTCATCGGATATAATTTCTTAAAAAATACTGATATATGCATGCTATTGTACAGCTTGGTAATGAATTCGTTGAAAGGAATGTCTTCGCCAAATTATTCTGTTCTCAATTTACATATTTCAGAAATTTGAGCAGCATATCACATTGAATAATGACCTGCAGTTTACTCGGAAAGTAAAGGTGGATAAACTAGATACTAATTCTATGGAACATATGGGTGACGGACGCTTTCGGATGTGTATAGATGGTTTTTACTCCCCGGTTACCTACACATACTGTAGAAGTTGGTTTCCTTTTTTTGTGTGACCTCAAAGTCTAGACCAAGCACTGCTTGAAACCAGTTAAACACGGCTTATTGGAAATGGTTATTTAGAGTTGTATCTGTGTGTAAATCTTACCATTGGCTGTGGACTGCTGCAAGTTAGGTCAGAATGTGTAGTTTTCGGGGTCCGGTTTTTCTAACCCAGCTTACGAGAGCGTTGAGGCAGCACAGCTGCCTTCTTGATTCTCGCATGGAAACAACTTGTTACTGTTACATCTCTGTTCAACAGTTGTGCGTTTTTTTCCTCAGTCTCGTAACATAGCTTGAGTGACCTGTCTCTTAATGTTAAATTTCCTTAGTATAACTACTATCCTTATGACCTTTTGGGATGTTAGATAAGGCCTGAAGGAAAATTCTTTTCAATCAGTGTAGTTCGTAGCAGCTACCATTTGGAGTGGTTCATATTGTATATTTCGTATTAATAAACGTGTAAAACTTGGGCTTTGTGGTAGTAAGTAATTCCATATTGGTTTGTTTATTGGATGTATCACACATTGAAACAGTATTATTTACTGGATGACGTTTCACACAAAATTTATTGTTCATAATTTTAATTTTTTTTTAAATTTTAATTTTTATTATAACCCATTATTTTTGATACAAGTATGGAATTTTCAGTATGTGATATCGTTAGCCCAAATTTATCAGGCCGATCATGGATATCGGGCGTGCGTCGGCCGGGGATCGAACCCCGGACCATGTGCTTGAGTTTTATAGTTTTCTTTGTTCTCTCCTATTTGTCATCGTTAGGGTAATAGAATTTTCCAGATATCTGGGATAGGTGTTGATTCATTCCTAATTCCAAGGGAAAATATACAAACAAACTGAGGGGGTTGTCAAGGGGTCACCAATATCTCCGGTTTTGGCATATCTATTCATGGATAGGTGGGAGAAGTTAGCGATTGAAACGTTGAGCCCCACCCCAAAAGTATGATGGAGGTATGTAGATGACACATTCACTCTACTCAAAACACAGAACACAGTTCAATTCACTTATGAATTGGAAAATCAGGAAGGGCAGCTTCCAATGTTAGATCGTAGCGTAAAAAGGAAAGAAGATGGGGAATTAAACACTAGTGTTTACAGGAAACCCACACATT